AAGGACGGAGGTCAGCTATAAAACTGAAGGGAAGGCCGAAGGTCAGATATAAGACTGAAAGGAAGGACGGAGGTCAGAAAGATGACTGAAGGGAAGGACGGAGGTCAGATAGAAGACTGAAGGGGAGGCTGGAGGTCAGATAGAAGACTGAAGGGGAGGCTGGAGGTCAGATAGAAGACTGAAGGGGAGGCTGGAGGTCAGATAGAAGACTGAAGGGGAGGCTGGAGGTCAGATAGAAGACTGAAGGGGAGGCTGGAGGTCAGATAGAAGACTGAAGGGGAGGCTGGAGGTCAGATAGAAGACTGAAGGGAAGGCCGGAGGTCATTCCTAGGAGCAGCACGGACAGTTCTCCTTTCAGACACACAGGATAAGTGAGGCTCGTACAGTTTGCTCTCCACAGAGGCCTTCGTCCGGTGCCGCATTTGCTCAGCTGTCTTGGAGGTCTGGAATGTCGGAGAGGATCATGGGAGATCCCAGCTGCAGGTCCTCTTGGAGGGCAGTCAGGTCTGCAGGATTCATGCGGTGAACTTCCAGCCAATCGGCTAAGAGTGATGCTGAAAGAGGGGCGGAGTCTGCTAGGCTGAAAGAAAAAGAAACACTGTCATGGAACACCGCTATGTAGGTCTTTTGATCAGTACCAAGCCCTGATGACGGGGGAGGGAGGGGATTCTTTAAACCCCCGAAACGCGTTGACCTTTTATTATATAGAAATCTGAATAAAACCAAATCCGGACTTCACACGTTCTGCTTCTGAGAGGTTCCAGCCCTTCCACACCCACAGAAAAAAACTTCACCTCTTATGGCAACTACTGTATATACACCGAGTGGCCAGAAAAAGATGGATCAGCATTTCTGTCTGAATAGCTTATAACTTTATGTTTCATTCACATGTTCTCAGAAAAAGTATGAAGAAAACAACCAGACCATGGTAAAGACGCATTTACACCTAACAAGACCTCATGAGGTCAAAACTCTATACATCAACCTAACATTGTTCAGATGGACAAGACCTTGTTAGGTCAAAATACACTGAGTGGCCAGATTATTATGACCCCCCCCTCCCCCCATCAGTACTTCGTTGGGCCGCCTGGTGACTCCACAAGATGGTGAAAGGTGATGCGAGGAATCTGACACGGCACTGTTACCCTTCTGTTGTCTTGTACCAGTCTTGCCCCTCCCCCGTTCTGCCCTAACATTGACTAGTCGCTGACGGCCACAATTCGCACGCTCAGACCCAGATTTTCGGCTGACAGTCCGGTCTTTAAACACTTTAACAATGAGCCGCTCCTGAACATGTAACGAATTCTGCTGTTTTGCTGATACTCGCTCCATGGCTCCGAGCGCCAACAATCATCCCGCGTTCCAAGGCTGTTACATCGCGTTGTTTCCCCGAATCTTCCCAATCACTTCTACTGTCGTGGTAACCAACCCGCTTCCCTATTTATAATGGTCTGGCCCTCTAGCAACTTCAGCGCCAAATTATAGCTAATTTGCCTACAAACGTCAGGTGGTCATAATAATCCGGCCACTCAGTGTATATAATAATCCGGCCACTCAGTGTATATAATAATCCGGCCACTCAGTGTATATAATAATCCGGCCACTCGGTGTATATAATAATCCGGCCACTCAGTGTATATAATAATCCGGCCACTCAGTGTATATAATAATCCGGCCACTCAGTGTATATAATAATCCGGCCACTCAGTGTATATAATCATCCGGCCACTCAGTGTATATAATCATCCGGCCACTCAGTGTATAAAGGTTCCTTGTTCGGATCTCGGCACTCCGATATAACGTTGTATATCAGGTTCAGAAGTGTTTGCAGTCTCTCGGTTCCGTTCCATTGGGGGAGGGGGATTGACACTCTCACCTTTCTCGGCTCTCCGACGCCATATCGAAGGACTGGTTCAGGAACTCCTCAAGATCGAAGCCCAGTCCGTACCCGGCGCCGCTTCCTTTCGGTGTGACAGAGAAGACCGGGGGCAGGACATCCTCCACCTGGGAGAGTTGAGGGAAAATTAATAGGAGAAATGAAAAAAAACAAATCACCGGATGAAACAAATTCCGCATTTCATATCGGAGAATCGGCGACTCAATGTAGAAAGACGCGGGGCCGGGTCTGTGGAGGACTGACAGAAGGGCCTCCGTTTAGGATGACAGATTTCTGCCCTCATTGCTGTTTCTGCCGGCCTGTATCTTACCCACCGAGTCTCACATTATAATGCAATAAAAAAAAAAATATATAATAAAACGGATTTTTATACTTTTCTTTCAACGAAAATGGTGTCCAATGCCACAAGAGGAGCGGCAGCTCTCTCCCTCTGCTATAGAACTTGTAGTCATTCCTGCACCACAGACACCCGACGGACAAATAGAGGTAACCACTGCTTGGTTTGGTGGATGGCTGGGCAGGGGGGGGAGTGGGTCCCTGTTGCATCTGAGGTCAGTGTGGGGGGCCCTGGAGAACAAAAAGGAGAGCGAAGTGCGACTACCTAACGTAGCGATTTAAGAAACGAAGGATGGAACCTGTGGCGGCACTGCACCGTGATTGCGACGGCCCGAATCCCGGGTGGTGAGTCTGAGCGGGCAGCTGACTACTTTGCTCCCCCCCCCCGTAGAGCAGGGAGCGGTGGGAGTCAGAGCTCAGGTGGCGTGTGTGGCTAAGGGTGTAGGGGTTCTGAGTGCGGGGAGGCAGGATGGCAGCTACGAGGTGTCGTGCGTTGGTGGGGAGGAGAGACGGGCGCGGTAATGAGGTGGAAATCGGCAGACCGAGCCTAACGACGCACCGATAATTGGAGCCAACCCCCAGAAGTGAGTAGAAGACTGTCCCTACTCCTATACTCCTTCCCCAATCACTGCGTCAGGTAGTCGCGCCCCGGTCTCTCTCCTTGTTTGTTCTCCACATGTCGGAAACCCGGCCTGTACTCACTAGGAGCCGCACGGCCACGCAACAAACCCAGATCCCCACCGGAGAGCGCTTAAAACTTTGGACTTTCCTTCACTAGTCTTGCCCTGGAGCCCAACGGGGCCCTTTCGTGCCTTCTGTGCAGCACCCGGAACCCAGATATCAGTAGAAACATTGATATAAGAGGCTGGAATGTCGGAGACCTCTAGCAGTTTCATGCAAAAATGTGCTCAGCCTCCAATGGTCTCCAGTATGTAATCACATGGAGCATGTCTACTGATCACTTCCTGTAGTATGATTGCAACCTAATGTAGCAATACATATACTTAATATTATCAGTGGCCCCCTTAATGATGTCAAGGGTTGCAGTTGAGGCCTCCAATACTGACCACAATTGGCCTGATGGATAGGAGGAGGGGGGGGTGCTGTACTTGCAGAAAATATACTTATCATGGAATAGAAAACTAATGCAGCCACCACAACCAGTAAGCTGCAATATATAACATTGTTCTTCTTGGTTTTAGGAATACTGTTCTGCAAGCTGCTTTGAATGATGTTCCTACCTGTGACTTTGAGAACTGCTGGGTCACAAAGTTGATATCAGGAGAAACAGAGGTGGAGGGGTCGGTTGTGTTGAAGGTGGTGGGCCGTAGAGGTGTCAGATCTTGAGTTTTGGGCTCTTCTTGAAGGCGGCAGTCTACCCCACCAGTGAATGCTATCCCTGGGACTTGGGTTGGTTGCTCAATGTCGGCGGGGTTGCGTAGAAAGAGCGCGGGATCCACGGTGACAGAATTCCGCTTCCCGTCTCCTGTGTCCGCCGGCCAGCTTTCCTGGTGCCCCCCTCTGCTCCAAGGTGGGTTGATCCGGGCCTGAGCAGGGAAAGTGCCAGGAAGAACTGGCCCGCTGGAAATGAATTTGACATCTGGGGGAAGCTGTCCACTGATAGGAGGAGCCACCTGCTTCACTTGGGGAGCCAGCACCACGGGGGCAATCTGGAAGGCTGCGGGGGTGGGGGGCACATAATGGAGAAGGTTGGGCACAGGGCAGGGGTTCAGGCACCTCGGAATGAACTGTATATTTGGTGCAACCGAAGGAGCCGAGATGGTTCCGTTCTGCTGGCATCGGACCTCAGGAACAGGATTGAGATTGGCCATGCCAAACACTGTCTGCTGGGGTAGGGGCGGTGTCATGGTTCTCACGTCTGGACACGGAGCAGGTTTTGGCACGGTTGGGTTTTGGTTGGCAGGAAGAGGGGCTGGCTGGGGAATTGGGTGCTGCTGCGTATGATCGATCATTCGCGTCCACCGTTCCAAAAGGTTCTTGTCGCTTTCGCTCAAAATCAACCCCCCGAATCCATCCGCTTTCTCGCGGCGCTCCTTCTCTTTCTGCTTCTTCTCCTTCTCCCGGGCGCGCTCATGCCGCCGCCGCCTCTTCTCCTCCCTTTCTCGCTGGCGCTCCTGTGCTGTGATTGGCTTCTTTGTTTCAGGCGTCTCAGGGATGGAGCTGGGGGCATCTACGGGAGACAGGGCATGCGAGTGTTAATACAATCTGTAGACACATTATCTGCGTATAGATAGAGCGACCCTTTATAACAAAGGTTTGTGCCTTTATAATTGGGGTGCTTCCAGTAGGCAAAGCTTCATCCGAGCTTTACCTTATTCTTCTGGTCCCAGTGAAAAGCTACAACATGTAGTGGCTCACCTGCTTGCCCTATGACCAAAAGTGTCCAATCTTCACCTCGGCCTCATAGGAGGGAGAGCATCCCTTCTCTTTGTCTGCTGATACAGTCAATGCCTTACACTGATTTATGCTGACAGAGCACCCAGAGCGGCTCCCTGGACGGCATCAGAGCGCTAGCCGCAGCTCCTTCCCGCCCCCCCGCCAGGCACGCCCCCCCGTCCGCATGCCTGCCCACCTGTCTGTGGCTCCCTGGACGGCAGAGCGGACAGCTGCAGCCAGGTAAGACATCCCCCGAAAATAAGACCTAGTGTCTTTTTTCGTAGAAAAAAAAATATAAGACACTGTCTTATTTTCGGGGAAACACGGTATTAGGGATGCACCGATACCCATACTAGTATTGGTGCCGATGCTGAGTATTTAGGTGAGTACTCGTTATTAATGCTCCGATACCTAGCACTTCCAGTATCAGGAAGCCGGGCAGCGCGTCATTACACGCTGCTCAGGTTCCTGATTGGCCCGGGAAGCCAGCTCCATGCTCTCTCGTCACTTGTGACGCGCTGCCCGGCTTCCCGATTGTTCGATGGCCAATCAGGCCGGCTTCATGCTGCCTCGTCACCTCATGACGAGGGAGCATGGAGCCGGCTTCCCGGCCTATCAGGAAGCCGGGCGCCGCATCATTACACAGCGCCCAGCTTCCTGATTGGCTAGAAGGCCGACTCCATGCTTTCTCGTCACCTGGTGACCAGAAGCATGGGGACGGCTTCCCTGCTAATCAGGCGGCCAGGGGGCGAGTCATTACGCACCGCCTGGTTCCTGATGTGTAAACTTTGTCCGGCATCACACCTACTTCATTTCTCTCGGCTCTAACTATAATTCACCACGACCTACAAAAATCGGCACGCCCATTACTAAGATATCCACCTATAAACCTGCAACATTTCAGATCCCTGGCACATCTAGATCATGGTGAGGATAAGAACTTATTGGCCTCCCTCGTACTGTGTGCTATAAACCAAGATCTCCTGTATGAAGCAATGCCGACTGTTACACGCTGAGTCTGGGTGCTAACCCGCTCATGTGAGGGGTATGATGCAACAACACTTGCTATACACTAAAAGGACTGTTTCTTGATAATTCCACAACCCTGGATGAAGTAATACAGATTGTTTATACTTACCCAGGACTTGCATAACCTCATTACATACCCACATGCGTTTACATTGTGTACTTCTGATATCCTACTAACTAGCTGACTGCATATAGTTCCTTGAAGCTAAGAGACGCACAGGAAGAAGAGCCTATCCGCAGCTATGGTTCGTACCGGGGAAAGACTAAGAATGGGCTCGGGCGTGTTCGCAGCTCCACTTGCCGAGCCCACCAGGAAGCTGACAGCGCGAAGCGCCAATCACAGGTACCGAGACATTTTCCCGGTCCGCAGCTGCAGAGATCGGGGAATGTCTCAGTGCCTGTGATTGGCGCTGCGCGCTGTCAGCTTCCTGGCGGGCTCGGCATGTGGAGCTGCGAACACGCCCGAGCCCATCCTTAGTAAAGACTCAGTATCCTGCTAAATGCGTTACACTCTGGCCCTCCAGCAGTGGTGATACTACAAATTCCCATCATCCATTTGCCTCTGGGACTCATGCCTGTGGCTGTCAGAGTCTTGAAACGCCTAATGGGATTTGTGGCATCACCACATCTGGAGGGCCGGAGTTTGCCTACCCCAGCAGGCCAGAGATCATCTGCACTGTAAGATTAAAACCTTAGACTCCTTTAGCTCACCTTTGGATTTGTTGCGCAGGGCCGATTTCAGTAGAGCGGCTTTCAGTGCCGCCTTGGTGTCGTCGGATATAGCGCCCTCTTTCTTTGGCACCGGCTCGGGATCGGTCTTAATCACGGGGGCCTCCTCTTTTACCTCCGCACTTTCACTCAGTGGCACAATGTCCTCGCTCTCCACAGGAGATGTCAGGTCGATGGTTTCGGGCTTCACGGGTACTCGCGGCGACTCCATGGGGAAATCGCCTCTCTCCCTGGCGGAGTTGGCGCTTGGCATATCCACATCAAACCCTTGAGGCGGCGGCGGGAGCGGCGGCGACTGAAAGTCGTCTGACCTGATAACGCCGTCGGTCGCCGGGCCCTCCTCCGCCGGTTTCAGAGCGGGTTTAAAGCTGATCTGCCGCCGGATGCCCTCTCTCCTTTGGTGGAAGCCGTCTATCTCTGCCATGATGGCCTCCTTGATCTGCTCCTTCGTCAGAACCTGCTTGTCGAAGTCAAAGTCAAATGCCGGCACGCATTCAGGCTCGTCGTCCGGGTCGTGGTACTTGGATAGAAAAGGGTGCCGCAGTGCTTCGCACACAGATATCCGCTCGCGCGGGTCAAACCTCAATATTTTGGACAGCAGATCCAAGGCTTTCCTGTCTCCTTGAGGGTACAGGCTTGCCCAGGTTATCGGCTGGCGAGAAGGCAAGCTCTGAATGTATGCTCGGACCCTCTCTGCCCCGATGGCTCGGATGACCTGGCCGGAGGGTGTTCCGAGCACCGTCATGATGAGCTGAAGCTGGTGGATATAGTTCTTGCCGGGGAAGATCTGCTTGCGGCCCAGCATTTCGGCAAAGATGCAGCCCACGGACCACACGTCGATGGCCTGAGTGTACTCGTGAAGCGACAGCATGAGCTCCGGGGCGCGATACCAGCGGGTGGCCACATACTCCGTCATGAAATATTTATACTCGTCGGGCTTGGTGCAAAGTCCTCGGGCCATGCCGAAGTCGCCGATCTTCAGCTCGCAGTTCTCGTTGATCAGGAGGTTACTGGGCTTCAGGTCGCGGTGGAGAACGTTTGCCGAGTGGATGTACTTCAGACCCCTCAACAGCTGGTACAGGAAGTAGCGAGCGTGTTCTAAGGTCAGAGGCTGCGAGGAGTGGATGATCTGGTGAAGGTCGCTCTCCATGAGATCCAGCACCACGTACCTGAAGATGAAAAGGAATAAGAAATGTGAGAGTTGTGACATCCCAGACACTCTATTCCAGTGGTTCTCAACCTTTCTTTGGCCGGGACCCCATGGTAACATTTGCCAAATTGTGGTGACCCCCAATCGTAAAATTTAGGGATGCACCAATACTAGTATCTGTGCGGGCTCTCAGGAGGCTGTGCGGGCTCTCAGGTGGCTAGTGGGACTCTCTGGTGGCGTCCAGTGCGGGCTCTGTTGTGACGAATTGTGGGCTCTATGGTGATCGAGCATTCACCTCCCCTCACTCCTGCCTGCTCCCCTCTCTCTGATCCTCTCCGGCCGCTGCAGCGCCACCTAGGAGAACTGACACTGCCACCCCAGGAGGAGGCTGAGGAGCTCTTACCTAGAGCAGCACAAGGCATGTAGGGACCCCCTCAACTGTGGGTCCCGACCCACAGGTTGAGAACCACTGCTCTATTCACTCATACATTGGACCCTACTGGGATCTGTGGGGCTTAGTCTGGGATCCTCATGGACATAGGGAGATATCAGTGGCAGTGACCCTCCCTTGTAGGCCTCATTCACACGAGAAAAGGCCGGCACGTACAGCTCCATGCTGCGTGCACGCCCGTATTGAGCAGCTCCCGGGAACGACAGGTGCTGCGTGTGATTAGTACATAGCCCCTGTCCTTCTCTTTGGGAGTATGCAGCCGTACGCCCCCCTACACTCACCCCAAGTGCAGATCTGTAAGGGTGCGGGTGTCCCGACTCGGACGCAGACATGATCCATCCTGTCAGCGTACGAGTACGGACACCCGCACACGGAGGGTGAGCATAGGGCGGCGTATGACCGCGTACTCACATAGAGAATGACAGGGGCTGCGTACTAATCACACGCAGCACCTGTCCTTCCCGGGAGCTGCCCAATACGGCCGTGCACGCAGCATGGAGCTGTACGTACCGGCTTTTTCTCGTGTGAATAAGGCCTTAGACCAGTGGTGGCGAACCTTGGCACTCCAGCTGTTTTGGAACTACAAGTCCCATGAAGCATTGCAAGGCTCTGACAGCCACAGACATAACTCCCAGAGGCAGATGCATGTTGGGATTTGCAGTTTTGGCGCAGCTGGAGTGCCAAGGTTCGCCACCACTGGCTTAGACTGTAAGCTCTCACAGGCTGGGCCATCCTAACCATCTGGTCTTAAAGTGTACAGCACTGCGCACACCAGCTCAATGCACAATCCGCTCTCTATGGGTGACACTACGATGAATGCGGCTCATTCATTTTACGCAATGATGACGGTCAGTCATGCTGTGTGCTGCCCATAGAAAGCCCCCTCCCCCCAGACAGTGACGGGTATAGAGGGGGAATGGAGAGATGGTTACCCGTCCCCTGAGTCCAGGAGCAGAACAGGAAATGAGTCGTCCTTACACAGATTTGAACTCTGAATAATGCACGGATGGCTTCAAGATGTCTTTGATGGCGATGACGTTGTCGTGATTGAAGTGCTTCAGGATCTTCAGCTCCCGTAGGGTGCGCTTGGCGTGAGTCACCACATCGAAGGCGTTGGGGATCTTCTTAATGGCCACCTTCTGACCTGGGGAATAACGGGAACGTTACATCTCTGACAGCTGATTGGTTCACCATCTGTGATAGAGAATTGACTCTTCCTGAAGAGGTCAAATTTGCTAGCACGTTCAGCAGCATATAAAATGATTTATGGTAGAGATGCACCAGGATGCGCTGATGCCGATACCGAGTATTTGGGTGAGTACTCGTACTTGCCCAAATGCCCCAGATACTTATCCCGATACCGGAACTTTCGGTGTCAGGAAGCCGGGTGCGAGTCATTACACGCCACCCAGCTTCCTGATTGGCTGGGAAGCCAGGCCCACACTCCCTCGTCACCAGGGAGCATGGAGATGGCTTTCACGCCAATCAGGAAGCCGAGGGACAGATAATAACTCGCTCCCTGACTTCCTGATTGGCCGGGAAGTCGGCTGCATGCTCCCATGTCACTTGGTGATGAGGGGGCATGCAGCCGGCTTCCCAGCCAATCAAGAAGCCAGGCAACGTGTAATGACTTGCCACCCGGCTTTGCGATTAGCCGGGAAGCCGGCTACACGGGTAATGTCTCACCGCCCGGCTTCCTGATTGGCCAGCTTCCCGACCAATCAGGAAGCCGGTAGGTGAGTCATTACACTTTGCACGCCTCCCTGATTGGCCGGGAAGCCGGCTGCATGCTTTCTCATCACCAAGTGACGGGGGAGCATGCAGCCGGCTTCCCGGCCAATCAGGAAGACGGGGAGCGAGCCATTACCCGCCCCTCAGCTTTCCTTAATGGGACTTCTGGTATCGGTGAGTACCGGAAAAAAAATATATCGGTACTCGTTACCGAAAAACTGTATCGCTGCATCCCGAATCTATGGAAACAAAAACTCTGCAAGTTAGCATTTCAAATCCTTGATTTGTCTTTGCTTTCCTCTGCAAGTTGGTGACAGGTTCTCTTTAACACTTCTCTACTTTATCCAAAAAACAACAAAGAGTTGTGGCTTTAGGTATACATGAAGCAATAATAGTCTGGAGGCCACACTGGCGCTCAGACCATGTCCCCTCCGCACACGCACCTCCGCGACATTCACCTCCGGCTCTACAAATAAAAACATTCTTACCGGTGCCCTTCCGGCGAGCAGACGACACCACGCCATAAGCTCCGGTGCCGATGGTCTCGATGACCTCGTATTCCTCCCCCACGTCGAAGGTAATATCGAAGGAGCGCTCTTTCAGGATGGCGAGGTTCGTGGCCGCGGTGGACGCGCAGTGAGACGCTTCCAGTTTGGAGCGCTCTCCGTCCTCCGCAGGCTCTCCAGGTTTCTTCTCCGCCATGGCTGCCTGGAAGGAGGAGAGAAAGAGGCTCATGAAGAACCATAACCACCGAACGGCACAACGCATACCGCCGCCCGTGTGTGTATGACGGCCTGTGTGTGTATGTATGACGGCCTGTGTGTGTATGTATGACGGCCTGTGTGTGTATGACGGTCTCTGATCCTCTGTGTATGTATGTATGTATGACGGCCTGCGTGTGTATGATGGCCTGCGTGTGTATGACGGCCTCTGATCCTCTGTGTATCCTCCATCTCATTATTAAAGCTGAACTCCGGGCAGAAGTTTGATCGGTATTCTAAAAGTCCATTCCAACCTCTAACAATATTTCAGGTTTTTTTTTTATCCCCCAGTGAGGGTGTACCTCCATTATATACCCCCCAGTGAGGGTGTACCTCCATCATATACCCCCCAGTGAGGGTGTACCTCCATCATATACCCCATATAGGGTTGCCACCTGTCCAGGATTCACCCGGACAGTTCGGGTTTTGAATGCTGTGTCCGGGTTTCATGGCAAACCCGGAAACAAGATGTCAGGCAGACGGTGGCAACCAAAATGAAGATGGGGCTACTAGCACCCCACTGAAAACAATCTTGACTGTGATATTTACATATTAATGGGTGGCGCTATTTACATATGAATAAGCTGCAACTCATTCTCCCCAAAAAAATTCTATGCATCGCTAGAGTGTTCGGGTTTCACTGGATGAAAAGGTGGCAACCCTAACCCCATAGTGAGGGTGTACCTTCATTATGTACCCCCTTATGTGAGTGTGCACCTCCATTATATACCCCCTATTATACCCCCCCCCCACCACTTTTCCCACCCACAGTGAAGGGGGCTCCACAAGCTATACCTCTATATACAGACTGTGTAATCCCCAAGCATGGCCCTCACAAGCTCTAGTCCACAGTCTTACACTCTCCCAACCCACCACCCCCACAGTTCCACCCGGAAGAGTGTGGCACACCGGCCCCTTTAAGAGAACTCACCCATCGGCCGAGCCGCCGAAGGACCCGGATGTTCGGCGGACAGCGAGGGGCGGGGCCAGAGTCACCGCTGTCTGAAGAACACAGCGCCTCCACCAATCAGAGGCAGGGAGACCTTTAGAGCGACGGAGGGAAAAAGAACACAGCGTAGAGGGCGTGTCCATGTCTCCTGGCAACGGGGAGGCCGAGCCCTCACTATCACAAAGCATCAGATATACAGAGGGGGCGGGGCACTTCGCAAACAGGGGAGGGGTTGGCCTGCGAGACGCTCTATGGGCGGGGCTGACATGGCGCTGTGTGCTTGTCCCTGACCACGTGGTCTTATGAACAGTTCTTCCTCTGAACAGTGACCACCAGTGTGTGAGCGCCCCGGGAGCGGCCATAGGGTGGTCACAGTCAGCCTTCCTCTCTCAGTCAGAGGAGTCATATTATGACCTGACCAGAGGAGACTGTTCTGCTTTCTTGTCAGCTGATCACCTAGTCACATGACAATAATCACTGGCCAGGAGACTGTGTCTTCCCCTTTCTCAGTTTCTACTGGATAGGACATACATGACTCCATAGCCACACCCCTATCTACAATCTGATTGTACAATCTTGTAGTGTACTGCAGCATGGTCTTATCTGGCCGGATGCAGATTGGACAGACTGTTTTGCATCCTCATAAAATGCATCCATTGGTGACATATTGGAGAGAGATCGTCCAATCAGATTGTAGCATGTGTGACCATCTGAAAGAGAGATCGTCCAATCAGATTGTAACGTGTGTGGCCATCCGCAAACTATCAATTACAAGTGGTGCAATCCTTCCCTTCCTCCGATGTGAGAGGGTGGCGAAATGGAGGGGCGAGTTACGGGCATGTGTCCCCCCTTTCCTTAACTATGCCAATCCACATACCCCCAACAATTGGGAAGGTACCTTAGAGGGAGGGGTCACCCCCCTCACCCCCCCCCCTCACCACCACTCACTGGGGGGTATATAATGGAGGTACACCCTCACTGGGGGTGTATAATGGAGGTACACCCTCACTGGGGGGTATATAATGGAGGTACACCCTCACTGGGGGGTATATAATGGAGGTACACCCTCA